TTGGTCCCAGTACATTCAACAAATTCTCAAATTCGTGACTGAACTTTCCTAGGAAATGACGAAACAGTGATTCATTCCTATGTTATCTTAACAATGATCCCATCCAGTATCTTGGTTTTTTTCGCTTTCTCTCCTTTCGCTCAAAAGAATCGATAATGAAAATCAAAAAAGTCTAGAAAAGGCATAATGAAAACTGTTCTTGTAGTGGACACGATGAAAGACGTTCCACAGCAATACACGCAACTAACACTAGTTTTTGTGTGTTTGGTGGAATTCTAGTCGCAAGCGAGTCAGCTTGATGGAAATTCGCCTTAGTAGTTCAGTTTTTCCTTAGTAATCTAGGTTTTATCCGCGGAAAATTCCCTACTGAGCAAAATTTTGGTATACACCTTTATTATGGCGTTTTAATGAAGATGTGAAAAATCGACATTGATATCGTGCCGGCTAAAAAAGTTATAAGGGTCAATTGGTCACGAAAATCAGTTTTTCGGGAACATCTCGCGACCTATGCCTCGGAGGTCAATAAAGGTCTTCATAAAAATTATTTTTGATACGGTTACCTACAAAAAATGTCTGTTGTATTTTTTTGTAAAGTCAACCGTTTTCGGACTAGAGCGCTGAGAAAGCGACTACATTATGATGATGCACAACCCCGTAGACATAATTCATGAACTGTCATAAAAGTTTTTTTATTTCATGCTCAATAATTTTTAATTTATACATTGAAAAATAGGGAAACAAATTTTTGTATATAATTTTTTTTTATATTCATTCGTCCTCGATATCCTTAATTTCAACTTTATCAAAAGTTGCTGACAAATTAATTATTCAAATTAACATCTTCATCATACTTATTGAGGCTCTCAGTCGAGTATATTTTTGTTTCAACATTGTTTTTCCCTGTTTTTTTTTTAAATAGATGTAGGTTGATCAAGTATTTGTGGGCGTGCTATGAGAAGTACATCTTGTGCACTTCACAAGATGTAGAAAGGCTGCGGTTCTTAGAATAATAAAGAACGGAACATCTGCTAGTGGAGGTCATTTATATTATATATAATAGATTTTACTAAGTTCCGAAACCTCTATAATATAAGTATATTTGTCACGAAACGCCCGAGTAGGAGTTAGAAATTTTAAGAAAACTTAAATACATTGACAAAAGGCAATAGAGTTGATGCCTTATATGTATACGGTACACAATAACCTTCTACTCGTTTTCTCAGCGCTCTAGTCCGAAAACGGTTGACTTCACAGAAAAATGCATGAGAATTTCTTTGGAGGTAATTGTATGTGGAATAATTTTTATAGTGACCTTTATTGACCTCCGAGCCATAGGTCGCGAGATATTCGCAAAAAACTGATTTTCGTGACCTTTTGGCCCTTATATATCTCCATTGAAACGCCATAATGGAGGTGTATACCAAAATTCAGCTCAGAATGTTTCTGCAGATTGCGGTTTAAAAATCCTAAAATGACTGGATTATTAACACGTGTGTCGATATTGAATGGTTTTCTCAATCTTGCGATTAGAATCAAAATACCAGATTCTAGCAGAGAAAATAGATAGTTTCACTGATTGTGAATAATAGGCGACTCATTCAAGTCTTCCCCACACAAGGTAATATGTTTATAATAACGAGTTCACATTTTATTTGTTATACTCGATAGTCGGAGGAATAAATAATCCCTTGTTTTCAACTATGGTTTAACTTTCACGTCCTCAAGGTGGTGAATTATTTGAAGGAATATTTTTCAATACTCAAGTTGAGTATTGAAGAGTGAAAAGTGATTTCAATAACAACATTTCTTTAGACTTGAGTATAGTTTGGTTTTAATAACCTGCCACCATTCAATACTCTCTTCTAATTGGTTACTTAGCGATATGCAACCGAGTAGTGGAATTATTCTAAAAAGATAATCGAAGCTCATCACGCAACAAATTACTTCGTTGACGACGACTTTATTGTAATGACCCACAAATATATACACATCAACCAAATCACAATAAGTATTGATTATTCAGAAAAGTTACGGAAGAGATAAGTAGGTATCAAATAGTGGACCTCATTATAGTTTGCGTAAATTTTATGTTCAGACTTTTACTTCCTTTATGTTAATTGATCACCACATTTTCAGCTCATGTATTTATTCGTATTCAATACACATGTTGGTCTATCCAATTCAACACGATTTCATCCATCAGACAAATATTTCGAATTGAAATGGGTATTTTCATAACAGAATAGTTTTTGGTAAAAAATATTTTGGGTCAAAATTCCTTCGTTTTGTTAAATCAAATGCTTTGTCGAAAGTTAATGATTGATGTTATTATTATTCGTTTGTTTCATGTCGTTATGTGTTGGTGTTGTCTCGGAAAGTAGTTGTTGTAATGTTTTTTATTTTTACTTTGTAAATACGTATCTAATATGTCTGATGGTTTTTTAAATAGTATCATTATTAACACGAAAAAACTACTTTTCGAGCCCTGAAGAGGAATTTGAATTCATTCGAAACGTCGGCACGAATACAATTATATATATTTAAACATTTAACTAGATAACACATAACATTAAAATGAACAGTTCAAAAGTAACCTTACAAAACGTTCAAAGGTGCGAACTCGTTTCCTCCTTTTCATAAAAGAGGATGTATGCATCTCCACTCACAAGCTATTGGTGAAATTGGTGACACGTGTGAATCGTTGTATTCGTGCCACGTGCCATTATAAGGATGTCTGCAGAATGCTGTATAATGTCCGCTGTAGGTAGTCCCACTGTGATTCGAAAGTGCATATAGATTATAGCGACAAGGAGTCACATTATCTGCTACATAGTAGTTCATATCTAATCCATCTAGAAGAAATTCGATGGCAATATTCAACTTGCCTCTGAATCTTTCTGTTAGAGAAAATATTTTAAAATGAATAACTAAAATATGGGGAAACTTATGGATCCATAGAGACTTTGTGCATTTTCTTCTTCCTTTGCAACTTGAACATGTCGGTTTTTCATGTCCATTCAAAGTTTCCTCTCTTGTGAAAAAATCCAAGCACTGTGATAAACTCAATTGGTGAGTTCTTTCTGGTATGGGGAGTGACAAATCCCAAAAAGGATCAAAGGTTACAGATGAGTGTCCACAATGTGTACACTTCATCGTGGCTTTCAATTGACCAACGAAAATATCTACAATCTTAGAGTTATATGTACTCAAATAAATCAGCCATTACTTTTGTGCTTTTTCGTTGTCGCTCAATTTTTCGTTAATCTCCGTTAAGGTCGGTTTTAACGTCATCATGTAAACCTTCTAAAAGATAACGAAGGAACTCCTGGGCGTCTTGATGCGCATGACCCATGAATCGAGGGGCAAAACTCTGTGAATCTGACTTTTTAAGGAGACTGTGTTCAGTACTCTATCACATGAATTTTCCCACCACAATTCCTTGATAACTTCTGCAAAAGCTTCGATTAAAGCACCCTCCGAACTAGAAATATTAATATTGATATCTTTCATGTACTCTTTTTTTTTCTTCAAATATTCCAGTAGCCATCTCGTATTGGATAAACATTGGATTACGCTGTTCATGAAACAGGTGTTGCCAATATTTTTCAACCCACTAAGCCCAAGGGTTTTGACTGAGGAATGTATCACTGATCAAATTCTGTTGTATCTGTTGGTGATACGTTCGCCACCGCTGATTTCTTATCAGTAATCATAGATGCACTGATTCTTCCCAGCATTGAACCAACGGAATGAGGAATGTGAAGTTGAATTTCTTGAAACTTAATCAGATTTATTGATGGTGGTTTTTTCGAATTTGGGAGCGAAAGATAATTCCAGAACTTGTTTATTTTCCTCTGCATCTTCTGAGATAATTGGAAAATGATCAATCTGTTCACTCCATTTTGCGATGTTCATAGAAAATTTTGATTTGATTTGTGAGTTCAGGAATATTTCATCTAATTTTTGAGTAAACGGAAGAGTAGCCAATATCGATGTGGCATTACCTCTTTGGATGGCGATACTGATTCTTCGAATTATAAATGAATAGGCTCGGTTGTCACTGGTAGAATTCATCATTCTTCTACCAATTTCTTTCAACAATTCAGAAGCATGAGATCCAAAAACATCAAAGGTTTCAATAGCAACAAGAAAGAAACAGTAGGAAATCAGCAAAGTGGAGTATTTCCCAAATTCGGATTTTTCTGCAATCATAGCAGCTGCACCAGTGGAATTAGACGTAGCGGCAAAGTGTGAAGCTGCAACTGTATCCACGCAGGTGAAGCCCCAAACCAGAGGCTTTCCAAATTTCCAAGAAATTAGACTCATCCCGTCTGGTCTTGAAAACCTGCCAGGACTGAATTTAGAACTCAGGCCATGGTAACCATTTTCTTCTACAGTGGTTCCGCATCTGCATTTATGACTAACACAAATTGAAGAACCTAACCGGAGACCTATCAAAATCCTAAAAGATGCATCATCTAAGAGGGTACCCAAAGAAGCCAAACCAAAATTGATCGTTGGATAATCCCAGGCTTTATGACACTTTTTATTTTCGGGAAGCGTATTTTTCGTTTGAGATAACCATTTATTTTCACCATTCAAGTGAAACGCATCAGAAATTTTAGACAAAGATTTGGAAAGAATGGAGTTTATCAAATGATGAGAACTGTTATAAGAGGAAAGAAAAGTTGGCAGTGAGAGGGATGAGGCTAATCGAATACCTAAACCACCAGAGTTAACTGGGAGAGTAGCTTGACTCCAAGTGATATCTTTGAATTTATTATTGGTAATTTTTGTAAAGATTGGCGTAAGGTGGAATCAAATTCTTGTAACTCTTTTTGACATATCCAAGTTGGACTGCATCTCATTACATTTTTTTTTAATTAGAATTGATTCTGTTACCTGAACAACCCCTTTTTCAGTTATTATTATTTGCTGTTCGCAGCTTTTGGTATAACAACTTTTTTGTCTCTGTTATGAAACAATGTTTTTTTTTTCAGGTGTAAGAGCCGTTTGTGATGATGCTTTTTGCGCAAAAATGTGCAGATTAGACAGAAAACCTGGTGGACGGTGTTGGGGAAGTGTTTGCGTTTGTAATCGACCTTAATATGTAATATAAAAAAACGTATTCATTATCGACAAGAAGTACAGAACACTTCTCATGCCTTTCTTGGGTGTTATTTTTTTTCCCAAAAATATATTTTAAATGAGAAATCTTGTATTATTTAGTTCGTAGTAGTTCTTCGATAGTTTGGTAGAAAGAGACGAATTGAACAATGAATGACACTGTTTTGTTGAGAAATTTGACTATTGTTTGAATATCCACCAAAAAAATTTTAGTGGATATTCAAACAATAGTCACTTTACATCGAAATCAGTCTCCACATAGAGTATGATGATGCTGATTTAATATCTCTTGAACTGGTAAATTCAATTTCAAATCTAATTGTTTACTACTCAACTTCATGTTGAGTAGTAAAATCTTCATGTAACCTTCTTGATATATAACATCGAATTTTCCAAATATCAGGACAGACAATTCCGTTTTCTGCTTCGACAATTTTGTTAGGTTTCACGTATAGTCAGTGGGCATACTTGAAGACTGGCTATAAATCAAATCATCTAAAAGAACAATTCGTTCAGGCCAGTCTCAACACCCTACACAGTAGGTTAATGGACTGACACCTATCAGAAAACAACTACTCCCCTGGCTAATACCACGAAGGGCGTTGGATTATATCCGACAGGTGTC